CCATGGGAGAAAATTTTTTCTAAAGTACCCCGATCCAGAAGTTATCGCGTACCACATAATCAACCATGGAGAAGACGAATCTGCAATCGGTTTCGACCGAACAAGCTTTTGAAATTTTTCGATTCGGTGATATGTGAGAACTTTCTGTGGAACATTCGTATTGATCCAAAAAGATCGAAACGGAAAGAAAAAAAAAATATGACGCACGATTCAATGGGGTTACCATGGTTTGTTTTCACGACATGGTTTGATACACATATATTTGATGTTATGTATAACGTGTAGAAAAAGGTACTATTCACCTTTTTTTTGATATAACAGTGACGTCTTTCTCCCGATTTTTGATGCTCGAGGAAAAATAGTTCGAATACATTCTTGCTTTATTTTGATGTGAGTCTTGTTTTTTTTGTGTTTGTATTTTTGACATTCGCCAGCGTTTACTAGCTGGATTACTTTAGAAAGGTAAAGAAAAAAGAGAAACAAACAGTCAGAACAGAACATTATTCATCTTTACTTCGAACATAACGATAAAGACTAAAGAAATACTAAAAAAAGAAACCACAGCATTGAAAACTACACTGCAAACGAGATGTGCATATTTTATTAAAAAAATTCACTTCAAGTGAATGACTTTTGTCTATTCACTCGCTGTTCACTATGTGTTGATGTATTTGCTCAATTTTTATGTTATGCACTGGAAATGAATGAACTATACACTAAAATGCCGCGTTTAGGCACATGTCAGTTACATCGGTAGTGCATAATCCACTGTATTTTCGTTGGACTTTCAAAGCAATGCAGTGCATAATGAGTGGATGGACAGTGCATCAACGCTGCCATTCACATACCATGCAATATTTTACGTACACTTAATGGCCATTTTCAGTGCATGCTATGTGCATGGCCATTGAGTAAAATGTATTTTCCTCTGTATAATGAGTCATAAGTGCTTTGTCCAACGAACCAGTATTTATTACATCAACTTGTTTCAACGTGTTCCAGTTCAAATTTTATCAAACTTGATCACGACGAACGAGTTGGAACCTGCCCTGTATCGTGCACGTTCTAATGCGTTAGAGTAAGAAACGCGCTAAACAAGTTCATTTGACAACACCTTAGATTTATTACTTTATAGCTCACTTCTTGAGACATTTTTCTCTCCTATAGGCAGCCTCTTTCACCTATTTAACATTTCTCACTATGTCTGACTTCAGCTTGGTCGAAGAGGCTGAAATCGTACTGTTTTTCTATCTCTAATCAAGCACAAAAACCATCTTCAGCCAAGCAAGATATAGCGATGAGAAAAACAGTACAATTTCTGACCTTCCCAAGTTCAGGTTTCGTTCAGAACTGATGAACTGTTCAAAACGCTATATTCAGCGAACTAAACTGGTCGAACAGTTCTTTTGAGCGAGCTGAACTTTTTAAACAGTTCGTTTTGAACGAGCTAAACTGGTCGAACTTTTTCTTCTTTTGAGCGAACTTAACGTCGTCTTTCAGCTGCTACACTGACATAGTCACACGGTGTGTTTCCCTGTGTTAGAACTTCACAGATGTCGCAGTCATTCAGAATGCTGTGGAGAGAATACTTTCGTAAGTTAAAAAGAGTGAAGCATACAGCTGGTCAATAGCAAACTAGTCGAACAGTTCTTTTGAGCGAGCTGAACGCCGACTGTGGTGGTGATTCTTTATATATATATCTGTCTCTCTGTCGTTATACATATAGGTATTTTCTTTTCGTTGGTCAGGTTTCATCCAGACCCCTAGCATTACGAAAGCCCGGTTAAAAGTAAGGCTTTCGTAACGCGCTATGGCTGGTAGAGAATCTGTGTGTGAACGTAGTAAAGCCATCTAGAAAACGCACGAGAAATGATTAGTATGCGCTACAAAAACTTTCACAAGATAAGCGCCTGTCTGACCGGACAATCCCAAGCGTTTTTCTCCATGAAGATGCGGTCAAAACTAAAACATAAGATCAGATTCGTAATCAGCAGCTCCTGGCGGCTCAGAATATGTGCGTTTAAAAGAAATCTAAGGGTGCTCGAACTTTGAATTAGCGGCACCTTACAAATGAAGAGATAAGTTTTTTTGGTACGAGATATTTGTGATCTTTCTGCGACTTTGGCCGGTAGCCACCTTACCAACTAACTCTGAAACATCGGTCGTGTGTAAAAGCGTTATCTCTGCCATTCAGTCATGTAAAATAAGACATTCAATCTGTTTTTCCCTAAAAATTGAAAAATTCGTAAAAAGTATGATTTTTTGCCTCTTGATGACGACTTTGCATGATAAGTAAGTCTTTATCTGATAAGTTAGACATATGAATCGATTCAAGTTTTCATGCTCTTTCGAAATATGACTTAAAAATAAAAATAAAGGTACAGAACAGGTTCTTTTGGTATCAGAAGAATGGTAAGTTTGCCTACTTCTTGTCATATTTTCCGCTTTTGACCACATTTTTCATCTATTTTATATTTTTGTCTATATTTGAAAAGAGCACAAAAATTGAATTGACTATGTATGTGCGAGGTTGTGCATAATTTGCATCCGCAGCGAATTCATGTTTCTCTCAATTTTTTTCTATGGAGGTATCTTAGTTATCTTCACAGGGCTTGTTGCTCAGTGACTCACTTTCAGGTTACCGGCAAACTCATACGCCAACGTCTTATTCGAAGCGAAGTGATAATATAACTATTATTTTTGAGTTCGCAGCGAATTTATATTGTGCATAATATGGTATGTATCTCATTAGATCAAGTCTCAGTTATAATGCGAAATCGCCATCAAGTGTCAAAAAGTCATGATTTTTTGCTAGTTTTTCCTTTTAAACCAAAACTTTAATGGAAAACTTAGTTTTGAATGTCTCACTTTGCATAATTTGGATAAAGAGGGACGTTATCAAGTAGGTTAGCGGGCTGATCGTAGGGTCCCGTTAACCGGACACTCAAAGCTAGCTTAAAAAATAAGAAAAAAAGAATATGTGCCTAACGAGAATCGAACTTGCCGACTACAGTGCACTATCAGAATTGACATTGGAAGTACGCGACGTTTTAACCAACTAGCTACAAGTTGATAAGTGATACAATGATTGAGAAGATATTTTAGAGATTGGTGTTTCTGTCCGAAAACGGCATTTTCGAGAATTGTGTCTCGAACATAAAATGTGGCAAATTTAATTTGCTAAATTTGATGTGTTGGGACCAGATTTTAAGAAACCGTTCCTCATGGTGAAGATCAATTTGTACAAAGTTGAGTCCAGCAGATAAAATTTAGGAAATTAAATTTGCTAGATTTTTGTTTCTGAGTTCAACTTCGGAAAACTCTTCAAGTGGTGCAAATGATTATATGATTTTTCATGTTCTCGGCGCTCCACCACACGGTAAATGTTTTACATTGTACTGACAAGTTAAGTATGATGATTGCTGAATTTAAGAAATATATTGATTTAAAAGTGCTGTCATTTGGCGAAACTTTTTCATTTGAAAGTGTTATAGCTAGACAAGTAAAACAACAATTACAGGATACAGAAATAACATTGAAGAGAACCTAATTAGGGTAACGCTGTAGAAACACGACGAGTTTAGCTATGATCAAAAAAATAGTAAGCAATTTTTAAATCTTTTATAACCGCATCCAGTCGTCGTACACTATGTATACGTTCTTATGTTTCGTTGAAAATTCAAAAAAGTACAAGTTATAAAAGGTCAGTATTTTTGTGTATCCCGCATACCGATACATAACTTTGTGCAGAGTTATTCTATTAGTTAGAATCTGGTAATTTTTATGTTATATTGTATGCAGAGCACAATTGAGAACAGTTAAAAGACCGCGTGTCATTATTGTTTTTAGAGCAATTATAATTAATAAATAAGAATAATAAATGATAAATAATCGTTAATCATCCTTTATCGTTCTCTTATAAAATCTTATTTAGCGGGAGGCTGCAAATGCACGCTCGCATCTTGTCGCATTTGGAGTAATAATATATGTAATATAGCCAAGAAAAGTTGTATATGTTATGTGCTGTGAAGATGTTTCTTGTTTATCAACTTGTCAACTTTTATTTCATTTTCTTTCATTTTAATTCCTATTTTAGTTTATGGTTTATTAAATATATGAAATAAAGAAAAACGAACTCACAAATGATCATTCGACCATTCGCCGTCGTCACAAACACTTTTAAATTTATCTTGTGACTAAAACCCTAGTCAGAAACTTATCTTACTAAAATTCTAGAATAAGCTTATTAAGGTCTTAGTGAGATTTCGCTTACATTTGTCTAAGATCTTAGACCAATCTTCCAAAGATTGTTAGATCACAAAACTTTTTAAGGTTTTAAGTTAATGTTATAGGATAAAAACAAAAAACAAAAAATAAGAACTGACATTGAACATTTACACATAAACAACTGTAGAAGAAGACATAAAATTATATTTCAGTCATTGTTTTTCGTTTTTTATTGCCTTGCCCATTACTATCATCATGACTATTTAGTTTTCGTTTATTTGAATTTGTTTTGTTCGTATCAGTTATATATTCACCCTTTTCCATAATAATTTTTAATACCTTTTGATTTGATTCGGACATGAGATTATAATTTTCAAAACGTTGATTCAATAAATCATTGTATGCTTCGTCGTACTCATTCGTTGAACAATTACCACCGTATTTTTTTTTCAATTTTTGTATTCGTTTTCTGTCATCTTTTACTGTACTCATATAAAAGCCAAAGCAATTACTAGGATGATAATATAATTGATACGTTGGATATAATCGATGATTACTTTTACTTATAGGACCTTTGACAAACACCGACTTTGTTTCACATAAGGCAAATTCATTTAATTTAAATGCTTCTTTGCATACTTGACATGTTGGCCATCTTGTACCACCACAATTTGTTTTGGCGCTATATGTGATTAATTTAGCTGTATAATGAGGAAATCGACCGAGTGGCATGTTTCAATGCTTTGTATACAACAATACATAAGGTTAAGAATTTATAGTATCGAAATGAAGATAAAAAAAGGTGTATTACATATTGTTATGAAATTACAAGAAAGAGAAGAAAGAAGGTAAGAAGATGCAGAAAAGTTAAGGAAAGAAAAGAACGCAACGTTGATTAAAAACCTAACCGAGATCAGCTGCCTCTACTACCTTTTGAAAGAGCAATCATGCTGAGACATAAATATCTATTGTCGTCTTATGTAAAAATATAAGAAAGCATCCGTGGTTATAGGAGAGGTATTATCGTTTCTTTTTCATCCAAAACTTTGCCTTATATTAAAAAAAGTTCAGTTTATGAACTGAAGAAGAAATAATGTACAAGTGGCATTCTTATTCAAACATGTGTGACTATTAAAAAGAAGTTTCAAGTGCTTGCGCTTCCAGTGACGAAATCTATAGGTTAATTCGAGTGTATGAGATTATTCGATGATTTTGGATATTTCGGATATATTTATAAGTGCGTCGGACATATTCAAAACATCATTCAAGGCGAACTTCTTGAATAATAATTTCATCCATCATGTCTTCCGGGCATCCGTTCACTAAAGAAGTTAAAGTTTTTGTGCTTCGTGTATTAAATTTTATTGCAAACGAGAAAAACGATCGACTGATTTCGCTCTTTAATGTCGATGAAAGAATTGCAAAGATATTAGATATTTCGGAGAGAGTTGTGAATAATCTGAAGAAGGAAATGAATGATTTAAAACAACAGGAAGAAGAAAAACTACAGGAACATTAATAACAATATGTAAAGATGTAATGGGTTCACCTCCTTCTTTTCATTATTTATACTGAGGTTTTCACACTTCCTTCTCTTAAAATAAAAGTTTAGATCAACAACAAAAACAGGAAGACAGTGACGTCCAAGAAAAAGAAGTCAGACACCTGAGAAGTCGGAAAGCGATGCTTTTTCATCATTTTACACGCGTTTTACGACTTACGGTCTAGTGAATACATTAGAAAATTAGGTACTTTTGCCGCGCAGCTCATTGAATAAGAAAAACAAAATTTACGCAAAAACCACGTAGATTATGTCGACGCCAGAAAAGAAGTCAAAGTATAATTATAAGGAACCCGCTGTCGGATTCACCGAAAACTTTTGCACATAGCATCCGATTTTTACCTAATTTGGTGCTGCGCGGCAAAAGTACCTAATTTTCTAATGAAGCGAACGATTTGGTATCGTCTTTTATGGTGCATTTTTTTAAGAATTATCTCGAAAACGTGCAGCTAGCATGTTGTTTTGTTTTAAAGAAAGACATTGAACTTCACTTTTTTGCGTTTCTTCTTCCTTAGTTTAATTACCATTTATTATTTATGTATGATAATAATAAAAAAGCAAAATAAACTGATCAAAACTAACCTAGCGTTTTAAGTCGATCGCTAGACAACTCACTTTATTTATTTTAAATTCAGTTAGTAAAGATAATTTCTATTCTCCATTTTTGGATATTCATCTATTTATTATTTACCAGATTCATGTGTTTCTCTAACGAATGGAGATTACGCCGTAAGCGTTTATGAACGCAAATTCAGTTCATTCGCTGGTGATATAACTTATAATTGTTCAATCGATTCCAGTACACTGTCACTCATCACTGATGATGCCACTGCTCACTGTCACTTATCTAATCGAAACGATACAGTATTAATTGTAGATTGTAAAAATATTGCTGGGTATGCTCGACGAAATTTTCCCTTTCAAATATTGAATGAAACATTCATAATTACATTAAACCCAAAACCACTATCTCAAGTTCAAGTTATCGTCGACGTTGATGCATTTTACTCTACAATTATCTTACCACTAACGTAAGTGAGTCGAAGGATGTTTGTACTACTATCCGTCCCAAAATACAAGGACATCGGTTACTTTTTTGAATAATTCAAAAAAACAAACAAAAGATAGAGACTTGCAGTCTTCACTAGCCAAGGCCTGTAGCTATGTTGTACAAAATAAAAACTAATTTGGAAAAAATTTCAAAGACCGGTATTTCAGGTTTCCATCTTTTCTCGTTTCCTAAAGGTAGAAACCTGCGGTCTTCACCATTTTGTAACCAAGGCCTGATTGCATCTTTTCATATATGGGGATTTGTAAATCTCGGAATTTTCGGGTGGTGTACCTCACATTTTCTTGACGCATGTCTTACTGACTACTTAATCGAAATTATGCTTGCACTTAAGTTTAAATATGACTGTTTGAAATCATTCTTTAAAATTTATTCTAATATTTATAATTATAGAGCAGAGTTTTTTCTTTGAAATGAGGTCTCTTCTAAAACTCTGCCACTTATCGGTCAAGAACTGTATTCAATTTACTAAAGTGTGGTTAAATCATTTTTGAAAGTCATTTGTGAAAAGTAGGAGAAAAGTGTCTTATTCCATACATAATACCCGCTTTCCAGTCATAGTTACAAAATTAAAAATTTCCAGATGCTCAATGAATCAAACCTGAGGTAAAAACCAGTGAGGGCCTGAAATACAGTGGTTGTCGTAAAACGCATGTAAAATCATAAAAAACCATCACAAAGAGCCCGCCGACCTCTCATCTTATAGAAAAATGTTTGCTCTACATATGTAATGACTCAAAACGTTTTGTATGTCCAGATCCTTGAGATTTGTATCAAAATTTAAAAAAGCAAGAAAATGATAATACCTGTACCTATTTTCAATATTTGATTTAAAAGTATATCGTCCTGGTGTTTTAAAATGTTCTGTTATATATGAATCGATGCAGAATTGCCTGCTCTAAACAATGAAGTAATATTTATTTTGGGATCACCATATGCATGATCTACATTTAAAAAGTACTGAGAAAAATGCAATTTTGAAAATATGGAATTTTTTAGTTTTCTTTTATTTAGTCCTAGATAGTTAAACACATTATTATGTTTAGGAGTGTTAATTTAGTGTTACTTTGGAAAATAAATGTAAATGAATCATTTATATTTAAAAAATAAATATAAATAAATGAAAAGAAAATTTATCTTTATTTTATAAAAGTAAATGATTCATTTACATTTATCCATTATAAATGAACAATAAAACGAAATTAACATCCCTAATTATGCCTAAATACACGATCTTCTAGAGTAAGCATTCCTTTTTCAAACGAGCCGTGAACGAATTACAGGAGTTTGATAGTTTTTCAGAAAATCAGAAAATACGAAGATGTGTGAAAATTCACGTTTTCTGGTAACAAGAGTGACCCTCGACAAAGTGCTTGATCTCTAGTTTTTTAAAAATGCACTTTCAGAAAGAGTTATTGCAGGGTTAGTGGTTATTTTCTATACTCTTTCGAATGAGACATAAATAAAAATAAAATAAAATTTGCCTCCGGACAGTGTGGTCGTACTAGGTCGGTTTTAAACATGATTTTCATTTATATAAAGTCATGTTTGATCATCAATAGATCAAAGAATGTTAACCGAAGAACGAGTTGGAAGCATCAGGCTGTCGGCTTGTCCAAACGTAACGCTGTTACAGTTTTGACACACTTTTTCTCAATTATCTCGAAACGTTTGAGAGCTAGAAAGTTCGTCCAAACGCCATTCGACGCAGCTCATCATACTCTATGTATGCTTTAAAAACAAAGTTTTTTGGTTGAAGTCTGGAGCTTCGAGAAAGGTTTTTCCATCTCGTAACGCTGTTACATAAAAATACCCTAAATTTGGAGTGCTCTTGCTAAAGTTCTAATTTTCTGCGAAAGCCATTCTTTAAATGAAATGCCCCTCGAGCAAATTTTGTAAAGCATCGAACGTGCTTTTCAGCGGTAAAAAAAATTTTCTTCTAACTATTTTTACTCGCGTAAAAAAAGCAAAATACAAACGTAAGGCTGTTACATTTTTCGTAACACTATTACACATTTTTTTGTCACACCATTTTACGGCACTCAGCGTTCTTCAAACAACTTCATACTTATAGCTTGAGTACTTCCAGCCTTCCTGAGGATACTCCACTTGCAAAAAAAAGTTCCAAAAGGTGCCTCAGGCTTTTAAATCGAGTCGGAAGTTCAAACTTGCAAGTAGCCCTTGTGCCTCGACTAAGAAATATTTCTCAAAACAAAACCAGCCATTTGGTAGAGAATTGAATTCTCTATTCGACAGTATATTTTTAAAATTATTTTACAAAAGTCTCTAGGTCAGAAAATTAAAATTAAAGTTTTCAAAAATTTTAAATTTAAATTTTTTAATTAAATATTCAGTTTTCTTCCAAAATAAAAGCCGAATTCGTGATCAGCATGAAAAACTACGTCTGGTGATGGACTCCGACCGATTTCCCGATGAAAAAGCAAAAAAAAAACTTGATCCGGGAAGTGTCGCGTTGCGTGGACAATCCGATGTACAGTACTTAGACTATTTTTGCGATGATACAATCATATTAGTGGACAAAACTACACATGTCTTGATACTTCTGACTCGTTCTTCGGTTTTCTGAGTGAATGGTGAATTTTTTAATATTATGTGAAAAGAGAGACTGGAAATCCTAATTTTCGTAACACTTTTTCGTAACGGAGCAGAGTCCATTCGTTTTTTGGACAGACAGTAATACAATTATTTACAACTTATTTTCTACGCCCGACTATTAATATCTTACCTATTCGTAAACGGCTTTCTTAACATTCTTCGACTTATTGATGATGAAACATGACTTTATACAAATGAAAATCATGTTTAAAACAATTTTCATGAAAATACTAATTCTAATGGTACTCATTATTGAGCATTTTTCAGCCTGTTCCGCCGATTGTATTTCAATGTATTATAGTGCACTTTGTAGAGAATTTTATTCTCTACAAGGTATGCTAAAAATTGTTCTTAGAACTTACGAGGGAACACATGTAAGTGTTCCCTCGCTTTTTGAACGAAACCTAGTGGGTTATAGGTTATCGATGATGCTGATTTCGAGTATGGATATGACAGCTATCCTTAGGGCTTCGAAGACCCGGTTTT